AAGACGGTGCGGCTCTGGGACGCGGCCATGGGAGCAGCGCTGCAGACGCTTGACGGCCACACCGCCTCGGTCACGTCCGTAGCCTTCTCATCCGACGGCAAACTTCTACCAACCTTACAAGTAACAAATCATTGGGTAGTGGAAGGCAATGCGAATATTGTTTGGCTCCCTCCTGATTATCGGGAAACTTGTGCAATTACTCGAAACGGAAGTCTTGTTATAGGTCATTCATCTGGGAGAATTTCAATCTTCTATTTTAAAAAAGGATCAAAGCTTATTATCTAAAATTGAAAAAAAAAAAAAAAAAATCTTCAAATTTAGGGGGGTCCTAGGGAACCATTTACTTAGATACTATTTAAGAATCGCCACTTATCTTCTAGCATTTTCTAGAAAAGTATAGTAATTAATAGATTTGTCACGAATTTACTAATCCTCTATATAGACTATGAGGTGTTTCAATTGCTGAGTCTGGTGCTAATAGTTTGCTGCTAGTCCTAGCCTTACTATCTTAAGGTATACTGCTTGGCTAATAATACTTGTATATTTCTTAAGTTCCGTCCTATATATGTTCGGTTTCCGGCGATCTCGCTTAACGCCAGGCATTAAAGTCATTACTAAGCTGAATGTGGGGCACCGTGCACCACAGTACCTCCAGCCACTTTTTGATCTTATTGCCTAAGGCTCTAAAAATGAAATTATAGCATACATTATAGGCCGTCCGGGGTCGATTTGGTCTTGCCCAAATATCGTTTAGTCGCACCGCTGCGAAGTACTGATCCGCGTGGCGATCTTATATAAAGTTGCACGCCACAGCCGCCATAAGGCTAAGGATGATTTCCTATGCTATAGTAAGGTCCCAGAGCGCGGATATGATCCCTTTAGATATATTAGAGAGAATAAGAGATTGGTGGTGGAGCTGTAATAAAGGAACTCTATTTCGCTGTAAAAAGAGACTCTTTACAAATCAGGCGCGAGAGCGACGATATAAATATATTTTTTTAATAACTTAACAACTTTATAGACTTACTAAGAAAAAATTCATGATTTCAAAACTATAAATTCGTCTCGCTACGCAGGGAGAGACGTTATAGGGGCTTTAAGGTGTCCAGGAATAGATAAGAAAGACAACTTATAAAAAAATATAAGAAATATTAAGGTGTGCACAGATTTCAAGATGCTTCAAGTCAAAGTACCTATCAATTTTTTCGGCACACCGGTTTTTTCGGCACGCAGGGATGGATGTTAATCTGGAGGGTGAGTGATCTATACCAATATCACCTTTCTCTCCTTACCCCGCATTTTGTTTTTCGGGTCCGGTCCGGACAAAGCGGGGAGCCGAGCCTTGACCCAGAGCAGCCAGAAAACAATTAGTTCAAACCATCCACCTCAGCTGGGCTTACACAAAATCATCTCACATCTTACTTGTACGATGGATTCGTTTCTTTTATATAGAAAAAGGGAAACGTGTCATGTTGCAGAATTAGCAATTAAGGTTTTTATTCTACCGTTCACTGCTGACACCCATGCTTTTGATCAGTCCGCACACCTGTCTTGAACCTATCTACTCATAGCTACGCATAGCTACGAGTATATCTTGTATCTGTATGTGAGTGATACATGCGAAGAGAAATCTTCGATTGCTGACCTTGATGCAGTTGACAATATCATATATGACTTTACGTGAAGCCCGGCTTTTCAGTTTGTAGCTTGTTTCTTCCGGCCATCAAACCTCACGAATCAGCACTACTCCTACTCCTCCCTCACGATGCCTCAAGATCGGAATAACCTTGTCAAGGCTACCCGACAATCTCCTCCAATCGATACAAGCGCGCCATATGATGCTGGATGGGTGGCAGGAAAAACAATTGTAATTACTGGAGGCGCATCTGGTTTCGGCGAAGGATTCTTCAGGAAATGGGCGGAGAATGGTAGTGAAATTCTGGCGAATCGCATTCACATTCGAGCCCCAATTAACGTGCTACGCAGGCGCAAATGTCATAATCGGAGATCTCAATGCCGGGCGAGGACGAGCTCTGGTGGAAGAGATCCGCAAGAACACTGGCAGTCAACACCACCATTTCATCCCTCTGGACGTGACGAACTGGCAGAACCAGGTGGACTTCTTCCGTGAAGCACTCAAGCTCAGCCCGCACGGTGGAATTGATGCTGTAGTTGCAAATGCGGGAATTACAGACGGCCTTCCCTCCTTCGATGACCCTCCCGAGAGCCTTGCTACACTCGAAGAACCCCCAAAACCCAATTTCCAATGCTACGAGGTCAACTTGACGGGCGTCATGTACACAGCACATCTCGCTATATTCCATCTTGGCCGAAACCCCAATTCCAAGAAGGCAGATCCCTCCACCACACCCGGCGCGAATCAACGAGACCGGCATCTGCTACTGATCGGATCCATTGCTTCAGTCGCTGCCATTCCAACCCAAATACAATACTGCGTATCGAAGCATGGCGTGCTTGGGATGTTTAGATCCCTGAGAGCGACATCGTTTATGCATGGAGCTCGCGTGAACATACTGTTGCCCTACTTCATTGATACTCCCATCATTCGTACGGAGGGGCGGCTGCTGCTGGCTGGAGGTGCATCTGGCAAACCGGAAGATGTGGTGGATGCTGGTACAAGGCTCATGGCCGACACAAGGATCAATGGGAGAGCTTTAGCAATTGGACCAAAGGTCACAGTGGTTAATGATTACGAATTGGTTGGCAAGGGAAGCGAGAATGGGAAGGAAACTGCTATCTGGGAGGCGTACGCCGATGACTTTGAGGAAACGGGTAATTGCACACTCTCGAGATCACGGTGACATGCTAACATTGAGACAGAGGTGTTCACGCGTCGACTCGTAGGACTTTTGAATCAAGTCGAACGCATTCGGGGTTGGGCTGGCTGGTCTTATGATATGGCACGAGCGTTCTTGTATCCCATTCAAAGTTGGCTGGGGAGATAGCCCGTCCGATTTTCATGCGTCTGCTGCTTCCTTTAGACTGCATTTATAATGTATATTACATACTCAATCGTTCACAACGTGTGTGCTCCACGGTAGGAGCAGGTTTCCTGTAGCTTCGTCCTAGTCGGGGCGAAGGTGCTATGCTTCGTCGCTCCTACCCTTTTCACGATTTCGCAGCAAGTGCAGTCGCAGTCAACGCAAAGTCTCCTTTCATAGACATCTTCTATCTTAATTCGCTAGGCCTCTGATACACTTTCAACTCCTCAGAGCAGCATAATCATAATCTCGTCAACGTTGAAGAGACTGCAGAACATTTTGGCCCTGCCTTTTGCTTTACACGGCCTCGGACTATTGACGTACAACAGCCTTTGTCGCCAATCTGTCTGCCATAAACTCGACCCTTCAGCCAATATGTGGCAACGAGCTACTTCATACGACGACGACCCTTTCACCTCACCGGCTCAAGAGGTCACACCGAGCGCGAACTACGGATGGGAAAACAGAGTTCGGCGACCTTCACGTTTCTCGGCACCTCGCTTTACACCTTTCAGGACTGGATTGCTACTTCTTGCAATTGGCATTATAGTGCTGTTTCGAGACTACATTCCCTCTCCAGCGTCACGACAGATGGTAAGATTGTATCCAGTCTCAAAGCCTGCCTGCGTGCTGATGCATCGCAGGTCAGCCCAGAAACCACCGAAATCTACAACACAACAACCATTCCCCATGCTGCCTTCCAACACCCGAGTCTAGCCTCTATCGAATACTCGATATCATTGATACTTTTCATTCCTACAAGTTCCCTGATACCTGTAACGTCTCCTCCCTCGATCTGCACGCACCCTTTGGTCCATTATGCCATGACCGAGCTTCAATGTTGACGGCCATGTCATCTGGAGGCCGCATTGGTCATGATGCTCCCTACATGCCTCGGGGCTGCGACATGCGTTGGTTCACGAGCGAGGAGGTTTGTGAGATCCTTGGGAGGTTCGATATGGTACTTCTAATTGGAGACTCAATGCTGCGCCATTTAATCGGGAGCATCACATCTTGATTCGAAGGGACCTGGGGCATGGAGCAGTCACAGATTGGAATTTCTCGACGCAGGAGAGGTAATACGCCGTATTCCTTGTGGTGGACACTTGCTGAGGAAAAATAGCAAAGAATGTTTCTGCAATGAACAGTTCGACGTCAAAGCATGCTCCGTGCAAGGGATCTACAAGACTGCCGACGTTCTTACAAATGATCCTGATAGCTTGTCATGCGCCAATTCGATCAACGTGATGAGTATGCTCATATTCCTAGCATACCAGGTTGTTACTGACACCCACATAGTAGAGCAGATCGTACGCTTTCCAATCCCCACAGAGGAGATCATCAGCTTGAAAGCTAGCATTGGCACAGAGGGCGACAAACCGAAAGCAGTCATCTTCGGCCATGGACTTTGGAGCAACCTGGATTTGCAGAAGACAGTAAACTGGCTAGATGCTGTACTCGAAGCCATCGGACCTGGATTTGCTCCGCAAGGGCATAGTCTTTTTGTGACGCCTAATGCTGCGGGAAAGGAAAAGCCGGATGGATGACTTGTGACACAGGGCAATAAAGCGCTGATGCTGTTTGAAGAAGCTGTTTCAGTGGAGGCGGCGAAGAAGGGGGTTGAGCATCTTGGGACGTGGAACATGAGCATCCAGAGCAACAAGTATGACGGGGTGCATCTTGATATGAAGGGGAACTTGGTCAAGGCGATGATGGTTATGAACTGGTTGAACTTGATTGAAAATTGATAAGAGGAAAAGACTGGGCTAGTCCATGTTCGTGTTGCTATCTGGGGTGGCTTTATCACTTGTACGGAGGACCTTTCTTGACATCTGAATGGATCAAACTTCTAAAGCACAAGAATATTACTGTCTCTCCGCAATGTCTATCTTCCACAATTACCAGATCGCAGAGCGGCACTCTTCACATCTTGCATACTGGTTATCATGGGAATATAGTTCTTGTCAACTTCACGACCAGATTGATTACATACATCATGACGATTACTCTGCGTAGATCCAGACAGAGGTCAAAGATGCAGTAGACAACATTTCTACACCGGGCATTACGTTTCCAGAAGACTGGACGGCAGTGTCGGAGCAATGCTCCTTTCTCCACCCAAAACCAACACATAATCTATATCTTCGGCGTTGGCATAGACTACTTAATCACAAACGCCTCAATCATCAATGGAATCGTTCACAACAGGCTACCAAGAGACACCCCCTCTCGATACATAGGCCGCTGCGTGCAGGAAGTCAATATAGGTGCATCCAGCACGCTGGAGATGGACGTAGTGGTTTTTAGACTGCAAGTTGTGGAGAAATATGGGAGGAAGCTTCTCGGGTACTTCTGCGCGTGCTGTTGCTTTGCAGTACTTTGACTAGTTAGTCATACGAGGAGGAAGAGAAGTCCATTGAAACTGCCTCGAGCATGAGAGCTGTCACGTACGTGACTAAGCGGGGTATTGCACCCCTCACTATTACCCCTGTCCGGTGAGTTTCTGTTGCTCAAACTACCGAAATTGACGGAGGAGACAACGAGGTGATGAATCGTAGAAAGACATCGAGGATTGGGATGGAACTGGCTGCTGCGAGGTTGCGGCGTGTCAGCAGAACGACACAAGTGTTGGATCGACAGAGTGAGTGCCGACTGATTTGAATCACATTGGCAAAGGTAGCCTTGAAAGCTTGACCAGTGTGGATATTCATTGGAACAAATGTTGTATTCATTCACACCCTCCAAGGGTATTACCTAGGTATTTATTTGATACTGCTGATGATACAGACCGTAATGCCAGAAATCGACTTTTGGTTCGAGTTACCCTCCGCGACCCTCCGCTTTCTATCCACTTCGCTTTTGGCCCCTCATACCACCGATGGCTCATACAGGCTATCCTGCTCGTCATGCAGCGCCTTCTTTCTTGCCAGGTTATTCTTGAATAATTGGGTGCCCATAGTCCACGCTCCCCCGAGGGGCTTTCCCCAATGCCTTGACTTTCGGTTGCCGGTGTTGGGGTTTAGAACGGAAGGCGAATTTTCGAAAGTGCCGGGTCGAAGCCAATGTCGGTTTTCGTGGATTCCTCGCATATAGTCCAGTTCGCTATACTCAGCTGCTTTCATAGATCTCACGTCTCCGGCTGGGAAGTTGCCAACTCTCCCGCCGCGGAAGATTTGATGGATGAAATCAATAGAAAGCTGCAGTGGGTTGCCTCTAGCTCTATTTCCAGTCCCCCCGATCCAGACTGATTTCAAGTTGTGGTTCTTCCGAACCTCAACAATGAGCTCGTGCTGTGCCCAATTAACGGTCGGAGTCTTGTGTCTCCTCGCCTTTTCTCCCCAATTCGAATCCCATATGATCAACATGGTTTCGCCACCTGGCAGATTGCGCCGGGTTATCGCCACCCAGGTATCCCAATTTTCTTGAGCGGAATTCGTGCCAGTCTGCCAGACCGACGATTTTTCTTTGGTGATAAAAAGTCCAATTTTGTAACTAGTATCTTCGTAGTGGTCGTCGAGAAAGTCTGTGAAGCAGTCAAGATTCTTCACATCATACTCATGATTCATGAGCTCAAAGTCTTCCTTGAGTTCCTCATTTTTAAACCCGATAGCATTTTCCATAAGACACGGGTCGTCATACGAGTCATACGAAGTGCCGTATGTTTCGATCAACCGTTTGAGGGTGTCCTGGACCTGTTTGGCAGTGCATGTTGCTGGGAGGTTTGTGGTGACACGTGGAGCGGAGGGAGTTCTGGCAGGAGTGAAGGCCGGTGATGCATTATGTCTTCTAAGGGGAAACGTTCGTGCAGGACTTGCATCATACAAGTTGGAATTACCGACAGATTCCGATTTGAGTCTTTCAGGATGAACATCATCGCCATCGCTTTTCTCAAGGAACCCTTCAGGACCCTTTCGTAGACTCATGCTTTCCAACATTTCAGGCGAAATTTCGAAGAAGTTGGCGGCCCTCATCATTAGAATTCGAAAGTCCCCCAATGTAGCATATGGAGTTCCTTGGTTGTTGTGTTCCCAAAGACGTGTGATTGTCGCACAGTTGACGTGCATTCTCGCGTTCTCGAAGGAGTTTGTCTTTGCGATAGGCAAAACAGCTTCGAGGAACCTCAAGTTATGCTGAACTTTGAAAATCCAAGCTCGCGCCAGAGGCATTGGCCATAAGTTCATGATCTCTTGTTGCAATGCTGCGAGTTTTTGATTATCATTCACCACTGGTCCCTTAAGGTTCATCATTTTCCAATGAGGTATGATGTCTTCGGGGGAAGCGCCTGCTAGCTGAGAGGATATTGAATGTCCTCGGACTGGTGTTGTGGAAGTGGGACAATTGAGATGTAGTCGCTTGGGAACTGGTTGGAGACTCTGGCCAACCCTTGCTCGTTTTAATCCGGGTGACTGTGAAGACCCATTATCTGTGATTGACGAATTGTTGGCGTGAGCTGGATAGCCCTTATAAGCTCCGTCATTGGGCAAGTTTTTCTGCTCGAGTTCCTTCTGGTTGTGACTCTCGAATAGCTCAGCGATGAGCGCCAGCACCCGGATGACATTGTCTTCCTTGTCAAAAAGGCCAATGGGGAAACTATCTTCCAGATCTTGTGCAATTTTCCCGATGAAAACCTTGAGCCGGGCCTTTGGTGGTCCAATTCGGTAATTTTTACCAAACATACCACTGTCGTTTCCGCGACACAAAATCTCGCTGGACAACTCTTGTCGTTGGCGTGATGTTGGGAGTCGAAATGGCTCAGCACCGGAAGCATATGGACCCGTCCATTTGTTGTAAGCATGTCCGAATATGGTTTCTGGAGTAGACGTCGGTGGAATGTTTGGGGTCTCGCGGAACGGAAGCCATTTGAACATGGATTTATTGGAATCACTACCATTTACCCCAAATCGTGAAGACTCGCGTTCCAGGTTGGTGTCTATATGATCGTTAAATCGCTGTCCGTGGCCTCCACTGGGGTCGGGCATGCAGCTGTCTGGGAGCGAGGACGGCCCGCTGCTCTTCCTGGAGTTTTTGGTCAACTTAGCCGCAGCTTTCAAGGCCTTGGTGACATCGCGACTGGTGAGTAAGGAGGAGCGACAATCTTCAGCTAAGCTACTATTCCGATGATCAATCGCATCCCTGAGAAGTGCTGAAGCGCGGTCCAAGTTCACTTTCTTGCTCAACTTAGCAAGTTTGTGCAACAGCCTTTCGCACAGAGTATGAATTTCGGCAATCATGGTGGATATCGTGTTCAGCGAATGCTCGCCCCAGTTCTCCTTGATGATGTTAAGTTCAAGTTCTTGTCCGGGTGAGAAAGAAGGCGGGCTTGAATGTGACGGGATTTCTACCACGAGCCTAGAGCGGCGTGGAGTTGGTGGGCGAATCTCTGTTTCCGGAGGAAAGTCCATCTGCACTTCTTGAATTGGGGCATTTTGGGGTCTGATTTGACCCGTTGACGGTGTAACCTCAGTCGAGACTTCCTCGGCCTGAAAAAAGTCGTCAACTAATACCCGACGTTGATTTGAGGTATGATGTGCATGTTTGTGAACTTTGGATGCTGCCTTCTTAGCTATGGCCCCTTCCTTGATGGTTTTGTCTCTTGCCTTGGCACTGCCTGAACTTCCATCTGTGTGGTTGGTGTTGTCGCGACAAACCGCGCGCAATGTCAGCGCGTTTGACTCTAAATGCCGTGTTCTCTGCTGCAGCGTCTCAATCTCGCGGTTGGCTTCTTCCAGCTGGCCCCTCAGTGATGCCGACAAGAGCAAACTTTTATTCTTCCAAAGTTGGTTCATATCTTGCTCCTTTTTGGCGAGAGCGATTTCAAGCATCTTGTCCATCTCTGTCTGGAAATTAACAGCCAGAACATGAGGCGAAGCCATGTTGGAGGCTTGCGATTGCCCATTCGGGATGTGGCCACCACTAGAGGCAAAATGATTCCCTGAAGATCTAGTTGCTAAGCTCTTTTGATCCACCGACCCGGAATCAAAGTTGCCAGTAGAAAAATGTGTAGATGGGCCAGCTTGTGCGATTGCGCTGGCCGACGCTGATGCTCGATGTTGATCTTCTCCTGAGTGTCGTGGATCAACCGAAACAACCCCCAAATGACCTCCATCAAGTGCAGCCTCGCATGCCTGAAAATCGACCATTTTCCACCTCGAAATCCCTCCTGGCGGAAACGAAGGATAAATCATGCTGAACTCCCACTTGTAGAAGTTTGGAGGATTTGGATCTGACCGAAGGACGTTGAGAAGGGCACTATAATGGTGTATCTGGCGGCCAATGGTGGATTCTGTTTCCGCATCGTCAGATTGTGTCTACGCGATTTGGATGTTTCGGACAAAAAAAATGAAAAACATCATCATCTTCTCTTTAACATGTGGCGCTTTGTACTTACCAATGGTCGCCTGGAGTCTATGCCGTAATCTCATATAAGCTTTGTTGAGTACCTTGCTTGAAGGGCCATCTAGGTATCATCAGATGAGCATCTAAGATGAGGACAAGACAGAACTTACCATGATATTTGTATTCCACCATATTGTTTCCACCGATCGACCGAGCACTGCGGTCTACGACTGGGACAGCGCTCACGTCTAGAGCTGGGAAGTTGAGGTATTTGCCTCCTGTTGCTCGATTCTTCCTTTGAATCTTTCGCGATGAAAACAGACCGCACGAGGATTTCTGCAAAAGCAGCAAAAATAAGCAAGTGTCCAAATCGATCGCACAGAAAACACCTTCGGCTGGCATAGACAAAGCAAACATCTTTTCATTAATGTACTGCAATTCAATAGCAAGGGTATTGATGTTGAGTACCCCTGTGCGGCCCAGCCACCACTCGCATTGCTTGATTATCTACACCTTAGCTTTGAATGCCCCTGCCCGGAAATGCCTTTGTCTCCTGCAGACTAGATTTTTGCTCCGAATCGAATTGAGGTTTGAGTCTTGCAACTGCAATGTTGAACACCTCATTGTCTGTGGAGGCGCGGTATGCGCACGAACCCCTTCACTCCTAATCATCTCACAGAGGAGTCGTCTTCTACACGCTGACGGAAGCGTGTAGTTGCAGCGGGATGCGGCAGTCAAGAAAGAGGACCTTGATGTTGGTCTCAACCTGAGATCTGAGAGATCTGTGCGAAGGATGGGATGCAAATTGCCCTTCTAACCGAACGTTTCAACCACCAATTCGGGGGTTCTCTCTGCAAATCGGCGTCGTGAGCACGCGCAGCTTTTTCTTTGCTTTTTAACTGCATGGGCTTCACGCGTCGCATGTCGCCCAAATCATCAGCTCAGATTGCCGTTTTTTTTTATTACGAATCAAAAGCTCAACGGGCTTCCGCAGAAATTTTTAATTTAGGCACAAGACCGAATACTCTCCCCACATGCCGGACCCAAGAGTCTTTTCGACCTTCAAAAGCACCAAATTGCATCTTGGGTTCTGCCACGCCGCAATATCACCCTGAATGTGTCGCGGATGATGCATTGCTTTGGGCAGCCAGCTAATTGCGTTTCAAGATGGAAATGAAGCAGACTTGCGAGAATCGGCCAGCCATGTACAGATTGCTCTGTTTCTTGGACTTCTGGGCTGAAACGTTAGAGTAAACGTTAGAGTGGCAGAAAGTACGCTTGCCTTTGGCTGTGATGCTAGAGTATATGGTGACTGGTTGACTCAAGGAAGCTTGCGCTTCTTCCTGCTCGTAAATTTCGGGCGAGATGGTGAGCAGTGTTCATCATTCGTTGCAGTTCTGCAGGTGGGCGCTTTAGCAACAAGGCGTGCTGAGCCATCGTGCTCGAATGAAAGTTTTCTTCGAGTCGTTTCTGTTAATGTTTTCCGCGTACAAGTACATCCCGTCTGTAAAATCCAAAGGGGTTGTCTTTCACTTTCCCCCCTGCGTTTTATTGATTTTGACGTGTTCCACATCCGCAGTCGAACTTGTTGTGATGCCATACCATTTCGACTGCATCAACCTCCAGCTTGTCAGCCAAAGGAGTGTTCTTTGCTTCTTGATAATACCCTCACGAACGAGTCAAATTTTGTTATCTGCGGGTGCGTTTGAAATGGCAGTATTTGACAAAGTTTTGTTGTGTGCCGGTCGAGTCGTCAGGATGGCTCGGTGTCGGGTTTCCTCCGCACGAATACAAAGATCCCAGGTCAAACCTTTCAGCATGAAATGCCCTGCGTATTCTCGCTCTTTCGTAGTATTTGCATATAGAGTGAAATACGCAAGTAGTTGTGTGGAATACAGAAAAGGGGCTTCGGGAGGTCTCGTGGCTCGACGCAGTGTTCGCAACGAAGAATGAATTAGTTCAATTAAACATTACTCTCTTCAAGACAGCCTGCTCCTTCAACCATGGCTCTATATATTACTTACAGATAATGACTAGTTTACCTTCCCCGCTTCCTAAAACCCACAATGTGTGGGGTGCATAAGCGCCCGCGGGTACCCCTCATTACCTAGTCCTCTCCACCAATCAACTCCTCATTATTCATGCAAGGACAGTGAACCTGCCACTAAGAACTCCCCCTCCTACCGGGCACTATTCTTCCCATCCCTTCGTTTATGCAATAGTGGGCTGTTATTTCTGACACAGCTTCCAGGGCTTGATTAGGCGTCCTCGTCCTCTACTTTTAACCTCTTCAACTGCAAGAACTCACAACAAACTCTTCCAGGAGAAGCAGATAAAGACAAACGACGGCATATAAATCAACGTTTGCCTATCCCAATCTTTTCATCGACCCCGCACATTTCAGCATGTCTCTCGTACGAAGCATCGCGCGTACACGGCTCCAAGCCCCGCAGTTGAGGCAGTTCAGGCAGCTCGGCTCAGATACAATGGTCAGCACGAAGACTTCAGGACGTGCGAAGCCAGACTGGGGATACCAGGCAAAGAGAGCTGGCGGCACAGCCATGATGTAGGTTCTCCTTTTCTCCATCTGCCTCTTTGTTTGATGAGTGCCGCTGCATGACACCCACGATCTTGAACGGGTGCTGACTTTCCCCCTTGATAGGTACGTTCCTGTGGTCGCGGTTGTTATGTTCTGGCCTTATACTGTCAAGCCTGTCATGGATCGAGTTCGGTGGTAGTTATGTACATCTGCTATGTTGGAGTCAGACTTTTCGAGGAACCAGGAATGGGATGGGATACAATGGAATACCGATGGAGTCATCAAGTTACAATAACAAATATATTTCCCAATGAGTAACATGAGAGATGCTTCTCTCCCTCTACATTTTCGTGGTTCCGATTCGTAGGACTAAGGAGATGCTGATGCTGCATTTGAGTGAGATGATGTAGGAGTGTATCGTTATCCCACAACTTGTAGTATGGCTCAGTCGAATTTACCTCTGGCAATAATGCTGTGCGTTGTATCTTCACACACTTATAATCAACCTGGAGCCGTTCCTTCAATCGTGCCTTTTGCTCTTTGAGCTATTACTCGCACTCTTCCTCAACTCGCGCTTTTTCCTTTTCGAGTCGTGTTTGATGTTTTTGGCCAAGCTTCTGTTCTTCTTTCCTACACTACCAATATGCGCTCCTCTTCCCCTGCCTTCTGGAATGAAACCTTTATGTTTGGATCCTGACGAGTAAGAACTTGAAAACGAAATAGCTATGCTGGGCCGAGGCGGTTTCGGACAAGACGGGTTGTCTATAGGTTTAAAACCTGTCAGCTAGAGCGTGGGGAATAATTTACATGTCATTGAACAGTTACAAGTACAGTCACGAGATACTCTGCAAAGCTCACGACGCTGAGACTATGCTGATCCTGGACCAGGAATTAGATGAAAAGTGTGATTTATTTCTAGTTATATTACTACTTTCCACTTGCTTTATATTGTGCTAAAGCCTCACTTCCGACGATTCCTAACACGATAATATACTGCGGCTTTCTCGGTTCCTTTTCAGCTTCTGTCTCAGAGTATAGATCCATTCATCAAGAAACATCCAAAGCCATAGTAAGATAAACCACAAAGAGATAATAGCTGTGCCTATGAGACTAATTATGCTGAAGTATCGACATACGTGCCACATTGTCTCCCAATGAAAGGCTCTCAATTGGTCAGCCGCAAGTGCAACCTGCATCGAGTTCAGGATCGTAGAAACTACGGCAAATACAAAAAGTATTGGCCCGTATAGCCGTCCGAAGAAGTCTCCGTACTGTCCGTGCACCTGTTCGAAATGGAATTTGCGGAGAAGTAGTGGCGCATATAAATTGAGCCGCGTTAACCTTAGTTCGCCATAACAGTATCTCCTCGTCACGGCTGTGTCTTTAATCTGGCTGAGTTCCGAGATGAGGCGGCAAAAAGATGGCCAGTCTACGTCTTTAGGGATGAGACGAAGATGGTCTTGCTGAGCAATGTGAAAGTCGGATTCGTGTCGGATCAAATAGCGGTACGTCCGCAGGAACCCAGTCGCAGCCTTACAGAGGTCGCTCCGACTGTAGCCCGCTTGGTCTGAGCCCGTATCTAGATATGTTTTCCAGAATGTCTGTGATAGCAGATATCGTGGCAGAGGTTTTATAAAGATTCGATCATATATCCAAACCAGATGCAGTCGTGGCTCTTCCGTGACGATGATCTCACGACCCTTGATCCGCTGGCGGTGCAACGGGCTGATATTAGCGCTCGAGAAAGTCGTCAGAATCCAGAGATGCGGCGCCATCATTTCTAAGTCTCTGCTCCAGAATTCCTGCTCCAGAAATTGTCTTATGCAGGGAGCGTCGTTCAATATAACCAAAGGGTAGCCTGGCAAAGTCGTGGTCGTTGGCGCTTCAGGTGCAGGCTCGTAGTCGTGCACAAGCTGAGCTTCTTTGGAGAATGGAGGCATGTCCAGTCGTAAGAAGTATGTCTAAATGGGTCAACTTTGCACAGGCAACCGATTGTGGAAGCAATATATATCTTCGATGTGAGGAATAGACTTGCGCCTGAGGCAGTGAGGAGCTCGCTTTCAGCTGTGCTCTCAGCCCCCGCCCCCTCAGCCGCAGTCTTGCTGCAGGCCGACCGAGCAGGCAGAGCGCGCTTCTTGCTCAGCGTGGTATATACTTAACAGTTGCCTGCGCATTTGTACGCTGCCCTTTTTCAACCTTAAGCTTTCGTCACATCTGGGTTATACACTGGAGGCAAAGCATGGTACGTCTACGCCCCTCCCCCACCCTTCAGGCACGACAGGCTAACCCCGGGACTAGGCTCGGTCGGTGACCAACGACGACATTGGCCTGAAGGTGCTCCGCGAGGCACCAGAGGGAGAAGCTACGCAAATTGTTGAGTACGTTCGCATATACTGCCCAACTTGCTCAGACTTGTGCTAAGCCGCCAGTATTGTCGCAATCCATGGCCTGGGCGCTCATCCGGACGACAGCTGGTGTAAGAACGTCGGCACGGCGAAGAACCCACAATGGTTCAACTGGCTCATTGAAGACACTATGCTGCCAGCAGTAGCAACCCATGCACGCATTTTGAGATATGGATACCAGTCGGGGTGGTTTGGCAAAGAGACAATGCAGCAGAACGTGTCTACGGTAGCAGATCGGTTGCTGCGAGCCTTGAAGCGGAAAAGAAAGGTGCCAACCCCTTTTACAAGCGTAGTGCGTCTGCTAACCTGGTTAGGATGTTTCATTTCGTCCACTGCTATTTATAGCACATTGTTTTGGCGGTCTAGTTGTACTAAAGGTGAGAAAGTAAATTCGGTGAGGATGTGCCAGCTGCTAAGGTTTCTCAGACACTGCTAGAAGCCGAACAGTACCAAAGCGAATGGCCTGGAGTGTTCCAATCGACCACAGGCCTAATTTTCTTCGGCACGCCCTTTCGAGGTGCGGAGGGGATGGGTCAGATGGAGATGCTAGCAGCGGCGCGGCGTGAATACTGCGAGGATCAGGTGCAGCCTACTGTTCTTAATATACTCCAGCCGGGGAACGCGTATCTTCAAGATACGGTCGATGGCTTCTTAAAGAAGATGCGGGGCCAGACGAACAAGACTCAGATTGCATGCTTCTTCGAGCTCAAGTCAAGCAATGTAGGGAGGATTGTGGGCAACCAGGATCGGATTGTAGGTTAGGCAAGTACTTATGATACAAGGCTGACCAACGCTACAGAGATTTATAGTCAGTGAGCACGCTGGTTGTCTCGACCTGTCTGAGTCGATAAATAAATACTCACTCTCGCGGACCCATTTCGACATGAACAAATTTGGAAACGCTGATGAGGAAGACTTTGAAACAATGGCAGAAGTAATCGATGATATGATCAAGGCATCTTCTGCACTCGTGCTGGCTCGATCTCAGTGTAATTATACATCTTAATAGTAGGTGAACATAAATGGAAGTTGACTAGTTTGGCAGACTACGGCAAGCATAAGGTCGACTTCAGCCTGCGTGGTGTGCCCGTAGTGGGCCATTTCATCCAACGCGACGCAGAGATGCGAGATCTGGAGCGGCTTCTTCTTGAACATGCAGCCGATACCAGCCGTCAAAAGGTCGTTGTTCTCCACGGCCTCGGAGGCATAGGCAAAACGCAGCTGGCAGTCGAGTGCGCGCGGGAACACCATCGTAGATTCAGTAGCGTCATCTGGCTGGACGGGTCGTCAAAGGCTAGTCTGAAACAGTCGTTTGTAGGCATGGCGCAGAGGCTACCACAGGACGAGCTAACGGCAGACGGCGTGGAGATGCTGGGACAACCTGCTATTGATGGTGATGCGGCGGTGCGCGAATGCCTCCGGTGGCTGTCCCTCCTGTCGAACCGCCAGTGGCTCTTAGTCTTTGACAATGTGGACCGCGACTTTCACAACCAAGATGATCCGCAGGCATATAATGTAAAAGCCTATTTCCCCCAGACAGACCACGGCTTGATTCTCATCACGAGTCGGCTAGCTAGCCTGCAGAGGTACGGATTGGGGATCAAGGTAGGGACAGTTGGCACGGAACAGGCAAGAGCGATACTGGAGAAGAATGCTGGACGGATGATCAAGGGTAAGCTTACAATCGCCTACCTGGTGAAAATTTCATCACAACTAATATGCTACCAATAGACGCCGATGCCATTCTCGACCGACTCGACGGGCTTCCTTTAGCCCTTACTCAAGCTGGCTCGTACATTCAAGAGACGAACATGTCTGCATTCGACTATGCAAAGCACTATGATAGCACCTGGGAGCGGCTGATGCAGAGCCAAGGCCAGCTTCCGCTCGAGGAGTATGGCGACCGGAACGTCTTGACGACGTGGATGATATCGTACGAGCAGGTGCAGAAGCAAAGCGAGGAAGCGGCGTGGCTACTCAAGCTGTGGGGATTTCTGGATCACGGCGAGCTCTGGTATGAGCTGGTTGCAGCTGGATCAAAATTCCCTGAAGATATAGATACTCCGACGTGGCTTCTTGAAATTGCAGAGGACGAGCTGGCATACACTAATGCGGTAGGCCTTTTATCGCGTTACTCGCTCGCGGATGCAAGGGAAGACAGCAACAGCCATTCGATGCACTCGGTACTGCATCGATGGTGCAAGCGGCTGGCGGAGAACGAGGAGCGATACGATCTTGGCTGCATAGCGGCGGGAATAGTGGCATTGAATGCGCCATCTGAATCGGAGGCGGAGTTCTGGAAAAAGCGGAGGCGACTGCTGGTCCATGCTATAATTGTTAGCGGGTGGATAGTAGGGGTGTATTCCATTGGGAAACAGACCGGCGGAGGCAAATTTCCAGCGTGGATATATCATAATCTAGGCCATATATTAGCAGGCGAAGTCCGATTCAAGGAGGCGGAAGCGATGTTCACTAGGGCGCTGCAAGGCTACGAGGAGGCACTTGGACCGAAGCATATATTAACACTCTCAGCGGTTTGGCGCCTAGGCAGCCTCTATGCAGGCCAAGGCCAGCTAGCGGAGGCGGAGGTGATATACACTCGAGCGCTGCAAGGCTATAAGGAGGCACTTGGACCAAAGCATACATCCACACTCCAGATAGTTGGGAACCTAGGCATCCTCTATAGAAAGCAAGGCAAGCTAGCGGAGGCGGAGGTGATGTACACTCAGGCGCTGCAAGGCTGCAAGGAGACACTTGGACCAAAGCATACATTAATACTCTTAACGGTTGGGAACCTAGGCAGCCTCTATACAATGCAAGGCAAGCTGG